AAAATACAGAAAATAACACCCTCAAAAAGAGGAGAAACATCAGTGTCCTCTGCCTTTTTCCTGTTTGGTTGTGTTTTTTCCTCCAGTAATAATACTGATGTCCCCCATGTGCTTGAGGCTTACTATGCACAGTATTAAAATGCTTATCACATTATATTAAGGGATAGTAACTCCTTTGCTGTGATGGTTTTGAAATGATCACAGCCCCTCTTTTTCCTTTTATTTTTCTTTTGGTTTTGCGTATTTTTCTTCTTGCACCAGGAAGAACATAAAATGTTTAATTCTTAGAATAGAGGTTTTGTTTTGGTCTTTGCCTCTTCAGTCCATTTTAATGCAGATTAAAATTATTTGTAAATTTTTGCAGTGCCTTGCAGAAACCCAGTGTTGTGTTGGCTGCAGCATGAATGTTTCAGGTTTCTGCTGCTAGTGCTGCAGATAAAATCAGCTGTAGCAAAGCTCTTCCTATGCTATTGTACCAACAGCTCTTGATCAAAGGGCATTGAAAGATTAAAAATAAAAGTAAAAATAACTGTGGTACCAAACCATCCCTGACCTGCTTCAGATTTGGGTATGTGAAGTTCAGAGAATAGAGTTTGATTTTTGTTTTTGTTTTTTATTTTATTTATTTTACAAGAGAGGTGAATACAACTGTTGGAAAAGAGTTAAGGAACCTTAGGAGGAATCAAGGGTATTTATTGACCAGACACTGAAACTGAACCGTTTGCTGTGCTGTACAGTTGTAATAAACACAGAGAAAACTGTTAGAATGACAGTTACATTTATCATTCTGTTAAAAATCTCTTTTCAGTTGCTTTACTATTTACCCCTAGCTAAACCTGTACCTATTCTACCTACCCCTTATCAGATACTCATCTGACTGACAAGTAGGTGCTTACCAACTGCTACTTTGCCACACTGTCTGGTCTTGTATCTGAATACGTGTTGTAGAACTTCACATTTATGAAAGCAGTGCCTTTCAGTGAAAGGGATTTTTTATCAACTGTACTTGCCTTATGTTTTACAGATACTCTTTGTGTTAATCAGAATATTGATTATTGAGGGTACTTATGTAGCGTAAAATGAAGTTTGATTATTCAGGGGTTTAACTTAGTGTAAAATGAAGTCTGTGTTGTAAAAATCGTCATTCTGTAAAGATTAACAGTCATCATGTTTGCTGAAGGGAATATAGTCTGTGCAGTGTCAAATACAAGACTTGCTTGTTACAAACTTTTATGGTTATGCTTAGTCTTCTGAATAGTTTTATAGAGTATCCTGTGTAATCTTTAAGAAAGCATGCTATTTGCCAGACATTGTAATTTCATCTACTTCTAATCAACATCTCCTAGTTTACTCTTGCCATCTCGAATAGCTGGCTTGTGTTAAATGGCTGAGTAATGTAGCCATTAGGGGAATAATCTTACTAGTAAAGTCAACACTGTTCTGGGTAACTGAATGTGGCTGAGTCCTAAAGGTAAACAGGTTCATCTGCTCCAACCCCATCATTGAAGTTTATGAAGCAACCCATCAGTACTGCTGCCTAGTCTCATTTATAGTGTGCTTTTTCTAGAGAAGCAACTCCATACCTGAATAACTACTGTATTTTCCCATATTTTAGACAAGTTTCAAGTGTTATAGACAAATCAGTAGCTGGCTGCTCTTTTTTTCATTTTGCTCTGGAACTAAACTGAAATGTCTTGAGCAGTGGGACTGTATAATGAAGTTCAAAATACTGATTACGATGGGAGATTCCAATGTGAGTAAGAAATATATTTGCTAGCGGGAAGATGAAGCCTCTTCTCTTTCAACAGAGGCTTAGGACTGTCTTCCCTGAGCTATTTGCTCTTCCTCTCTTTTGGCATCAGCCTCACAGTGATGGTGCATTTGTATTGGGAGGAACTGGAACTGCTGAGATACAGGCATGGGTTTCTTCTGTCTTGGAAAGGCAAAAGAGCACAGAAGGCAGGTAAGGCTAGCGAAGGCTTGAAGTAATACTATTGTTTGCTCAATGCAGGAGAGCTGGATTTAAATTTATAATAAGAATGTTGGCCTCCTGCCAGCGACGATCACATTATAACATTTTGGCATCACAAACACTATGCTGCTGCTGCTCCCAGAAGAAGACATTTTGACTTCCCTTACCTGCTCTGTCTCTAGCAGCTTGTTCTTTTGCAGTTAACCCCTCTTCTGGATTAAAAAAAAAAGAGAAAAGAAGTATTAAATTGATCACCTAACTGGGTCCTTTCCTGGATGTAGTTCAAAATGTGGTAATATGGTGCCAGCTATAGGAAGGACTGGTGGGGAGGCAGAGAAACTTGGGAAAGAAATGGAGGACTATGTCATGGCCATGAAAAGGAGCTGTTTTGTTCCTTTTTAACGTGTTCAGAAGCTGTGTCTTTAGTGTTAACTAACAGTCACTTGTTAGCCTCAAGCAATACATCTAGAAGGTGAAAACCTCTTATTGCAATGAGGTATTGATTCTGGAATCCATGGAGAGTCTTACTGCCAAATTTCAGTCAATTGCTTGAGTAGACCATCCTAAGATGTGCTTATCCACTCCTCCTGACTTCCATCGCCTGTAAAGGGCTTGTGCTGAATGCTTAAGGCGCTAATACACTTTGCTGAAACTTCTGTCATCTATTTTTATACTCTTTTTCCATATCAGCAATTATATTTGTCCCTATAAGCTTTATCTTGCTCCAGTAGCATGACACATGATCTCAGAACCATGCCCCTGGGTTTGGGCTGAGCTCACCATGAGCCACTGTCATTAAGTGCTGGTCCCTGATGTTGATGGATATTTTTTTTTTATCTCAAAGTCAATATTTAGCTCCTGATACTGAAGGTGTTCTGTTTTAGGGATTATGGCACAACAGATGTCTGTCAGGATGTACATCACCTCTGCAAAGCACTCTCAGAACAGTGCTCACAGTGCAGGGAGTGCGCTCTGTGCCAGGATGGCTTTGTGCAGAAGTACAAAGGACTGCATGGGCAGAGGAATGTGGGATGATTCTCCACAACCCTTGTCAGCTGCTTCTATAGTGAAGGAATTCTGACTTCAAAACCTACTGTTCACTAACCCTTCCTCCATCAGTGAAATCTATTTGCAAGATGCTAAAACTGACAAATGGCCATGAACTGGAGCATTAAGGCCAGGGAAACACTGAATGTGTTTTCCAAGCAGTGTAAGCAGCTGTGGCTCATTGATCTTGCTTGATGGTGCAGGAGCATCACGCGTCAGCATTTTTCTTGGCTCTTCCCCTGTCCTTTAGCAGAAAAGGTAACCTTTTTAACTTTCTAGTTAAAGGCTCTTGGTCGTAACAGGTGTCTCATGAACATGGCTGACGATTTTGCCTACTGTGAAAAAAGTGTCTTAGCTTTGAGAGGCAGCTGCGTCTCCATCATGTTGGCTCTGGAGTTCTTATTTAACCAGTGTGAATCAGAGCCTTGTGCCCTTTTTGGCTATGCTTCATCACATGGTCTTTCTTCAGCACAGTCCTCTTCAATCTTTTTTTTTTTTTTTTTAAGATGACAATTTTTGTTTTATCATTTTCTGCAGACGATTTCAGTGGAACATCTCAAAGCTCTCAAGCTGTGGGCCTTGATGTGCAATTCCTGAGTTTTATACGTGGTTCCCACTGGAAGTTTATGTGCCTGGGTGTGCAGCTTGGGGTCTTGTCCCACTGAAAACTTGCCTGTATTACCAGCATAATTATGTATGCCTATAATAACAATGTCTTACAACTTCCATTCAAGTAGATTTTCCTAGGTTTGTTTAGGGTGACCGAAATAAACCCCTAACCCTTGTTTTGGGTAAATTTTGAGGGCTTGTCCAGGCTTTAGAAGCCTCCAATTATCTTAAATACCTTTGCCCACGTAGCTGAAAAGCAGCGCTTGAGTGCGGCTGTGCTGCAGTGAGGTGCAGCAGCACAGCTCGCTGCTGCCGTCTCTGTATATCCGTTGCCCATCATCAGTGTCACTCGAAGGGTTTGCTAAACACGCTGTCACTCGTGCATTTGTACGCAATGGTTCATGGCTGCAAGCTTATTTTTAAATCTGTACAAAACTGATTACACTGCTGTAGTAATATTTACAGTCATGTACTACTTAGACTGCGAGGATAGCAGTCATAGCTGTCCTGCTGTGTACTGGGAGGTACTTCCTCACTGATTAACTTCGGGTAGCATCCTTTTTTGCATGTCTTGACTTCCTGAAGGAAGAAGGTGGCTCCTGCAGAGAGCAGTCAAGCTGCACTGTGAGAAAAATGGACATCCTGAAGGTGGCAGACCAGCATTTTGGATCGTCTTGAAGTCGTATGTGGCCTGCTCAAGGTGGAGTTTGGGCAGCCTGTCCTACCGCAGGGCAGCTACTCCGGGCATGCCGGGGCTAAGAGGTTTTTTTGAGCTAAGCAGCGAAGGAGCCGTGATTGCCCGGCGGGGAACGTTCGCACTCTGCCCTTGATCATCGGAGATAAGAAACCCGCAGTAAGCCAACAGCTCAGAGCCTGGCAGACCGAGTATCGCTGCCCGGAGCGCTGGAGCCCTGAACTCACCAGGCCGCTGTGCCCCGGGCGGCACAGACCCACACCGCACAGACCCTCTTACCCTTCTATGCTTGCTCCTCCTGCGCGTGCGCCGAGGAGGAACGCTCTCCTCGTCCCGCCCGTGCGCCGTGACGCTCCCTCCCCGCCCGCCTCTGGCAGCGCTGCTGACGTCACGAGTTTCGGCGGAGGGGGAGGAGGAGCTTTCGGTTGGCAGCAGGAGCGGTAGCGGCTACCGGCGCCTCGCGCCTGACGGGATTCCCCCCGCCACCACCCGACGCCCGGGCCCGGCCCGATCGCGGCGGCAGCGTTCCGGGAACCCCTTTCCCACTCGCCCCCTTACGGGCCTGCCGCGGCGTGCGGCTCCCTCCGTGCCGGCCTCGGTGCCTCCTGTCACCCTCCCCGCCGTGCCCCCGGGCGGGCAGGCCTCTGGACCTTTCCCCCCCCTCCTCCGGGGGGGTGGGCTGCTTTCCGGAATCCTGGCCGCTCCCTCCCCGCCGCCCGCCCAGCCGGGCCTGCGCCCGCCGCCCCCGGGCAGTGCGGGGGGTCCCTCGCGGGCCCCGGCCTCCGCTGTGACACAGGTTGGTGGCGGCGGGGCGGGCGGGAGCCGCTCTGGGGGAGGGCGGGCGGGAGCGGCCCGGATGCGGTGTGCTTTTCAAGGGGGCGGATTTGTCAGAGCGCGTTGAAGGGGCCGCTGGTGCGTGGCCGCTTGGGGCAGCTTCGGTGTCCAGGAGGTGTCGGGCCGGATTGGGGGGTTGCGGGAGCCGCACTGCTGAGAGCCGCTGGGGGCACCGGCCCTCGGCAGATGGAGGTACGCGGCGGGGTAGCTCTTTGAGGTGCGGGGGGGGGGCGGGCGAGGGGCTTATTAGTCATTTACGTTAGAACTGCAGAATCCCAAGGATTTTACGAGCTCTACAAATATTTATATGTCACCGTAAACCTTGCTGTGATTGCATATTGATGCTGTAGCATCCTGTCTTTAAATTGCTCTACAGTGATAGCAGCACTATGATTTGGGTATGTAGGTCAGATTCTGTGAGATATTTTTGTCAGAGGAAAAGTGAACGTTAGATTATTTTTTCCCTTGTTGTATTTGAGGTGCATTGCAGCACCCATGAGGTTGGATGGATTTTGGGTTTTGGATTTAAATTTTTTTTTTTTTTCTGGCTTAATTTTTTGCCTCATAAAGCTGGTTGTAGTTTTTGGTTGTGGAATTACTGAAGATCAAAGCATTAAATAAGCTGAGTGCTTCTAAGATGTATTGTATCATGAAATGTCCTCTAAAACGGTTGTAAAAGATAATAGAAACCTGCTTTGAAGTAAGGGGAATTTCTGGTCTGCAGAAAATGTTTCTCAGCTATAGCATTTCTTTTCTTTAAACAATGCAGCACGTTGCAGAGTGTGAGAGGCCTTCAGTAATGTGTTGCTATGCATATGGCAAAGATGTAGTAGTATTTGAAGAATAAATTTCTACATGCTTGTCTTGCACTGCATCTTGGATTCTCTGATGGCATAACATTTATTAGCAGAATACCCTAGAAAGTGCTCTTTCCTATGGAGTTCCCTTATGGATCTTTTTAAGTGGATGGGCAGTGATATAAGTTACTACTTAGGCCACACTGAAAAACCTCAGAAGAATTTTTTTGTTTTGGTTCCCACTCTTCATGTAGCCTGTCACTGCCACTTGAAAATGAGAGAAATACTGCATGAGGAAATTTTATTGTCATGTATGCCTTTGCTGATTTTGGAAATAACTGCTTTCCTCAGGAATACATTTAAAAATGAGAACTTGCTGGAATTCTTGTTTTCTTCACACTTTGTGTTTGTCACAATTGTCACAGAAATGTATTGAACCCAAATATTAATTCGGATAATGTGAGGCTGTATACAATTAATTTGAGGTTTTTCCAAGGTTCTGTTGCATTTTGATAAAGCAGAATAGCAGGGAAATGTTTATCAAATGACTTACTGCTGGAGGAAGATCTGTGTACAATTTGTCTTGATGAACTCTGTCGGTGGTTTGCCTGACACTAATGGAAGACTATGGTGAAGAAAACAGATGTTTCTGAATGGCTTGTCTTGGCTTGCTCAGATTTCTAAACTGTCAGAAGAAACTTTTCTGAAGATAGCTGTGGCATCTGGTAGTATTGAGAGCTTTTATAGTATATGTGGGTAGGCAGATACCTGCAACGGGTAGACTTTATTAATGTAGGTTAACAAGAGCATACCATGTTGTTTAATATCATGGTAGAGAAGCTTTTTGTAAAATGTTGATAAAACTCTAGTTATTTCAAAAAATGAATAGCCTTTCAAATGTGGTCATAGACCCATCAGTGTTTCTTTGCTGTGGTTCTTGGGAAAGGGCATAAATGAACAGACTTGTGGAATTTAGAGCCTATTGTGGCTAAATGCATAAGAATTACCTTTTTATTATAAAGGTAAAGCTTTCTTCTGGAGAAAGCAAGGAAGTTGGTCATGCTGTAAATTTAATTCACATTTATATTTTTTACTTTACATTTTTTCTTATAAATTCCTAAAATACAATGTTAATATTTAGGTGCAAATTACAGTTATTAGTTTTTAAACCTTTATCATTCTTAGGTATTCATGGAGAACGTCTCGAAAAAACTTTGTGTATTAGTAATCTTAAGTTTCATTTTACGTTTTTCATCTTTATTATCTTTACTGCAGGCTGACTTTTTACCACAGTAAGCTGTCAGAAGTAGTGAGTAAGATGTAACATACTTTTTGATGGATTATTCAGTGGCTCTCTAGCTGAGCGTTCTCTGAACTGAAAATGTTTTTTTTAGGAAATACAACCTGAGAATTATAGTAGTAATTCCCTTCACTGATTCCCCCTCTCCCACCGAACACACAACCAAAGGTGTTTTGATCTATCCAGAGGTACACATTTGGTTTGTAGTAATGGATGTATTTTCTAATAATTTTGTTTTAGATTGTTGCTCTTCACATTATTCTCTTTTTAGACTACTCTTTGGAGAAAAAGCAGTGAATTAGGAAAATGTGACTGATCAACATAATTAAGTACATCTTGCTACTTTTGCAGGGCTTATTTTTCATGCGTATGATAAAATAATGTAAATATATATATTGACTACTGAATCTGCCTAGGCTTATCTAATCGGCAAACAACTAAGTTTGAAAGGTTAATTTCTAAATTTAAGCTTTCTAAATTCTGAAGTAGAAGTGACACAGTATTAAAAAACAAAACAAACAGACAAACAAAAAAAGTCCACAAAAGCCCCAGTGAATTCTATTAAGTACGCTGTTTTTTCTATGGGAGAGAATAAAAGTCTTTTTTTGAAACAATAAATACTGCATTTGCTCTTTTAATAGTTTGGTGTGTTGCAGTGCTAAGGAATTACATGTAAACATATAATTGGGCAGTGGGAACATGCTCAGAATGTGGTGCAGTCCTGATTCTCACTTCTGGATCGTAGTGTGACATCTTGATTTAGTAATACAGTAATAACAACAAATGCAGCTTATGGCTCTATTAACTGATTTCTTAGTTAAATATGCTGTTTGCATTTTATTTTCTGAGGTGTCTTTAATATATTCACCTTGTGTAGTTTCTGAGGAGCTCTAGAAGGTTTGGTGACAATAAGAAAAGGAAAGGTGGAATTCTGTTAGGATATTACATTGATTTCCACCTGTGCGATCCACTGCTCTAGGGATACTTGACCCAGAAATATATATATGGCATAGTTTAGAGCCCAGCTTAATGAGGTCATTTGAAGTTGGACTTACTAGAGCAAGGCCAAAGCGGGGGGTATCTTCAATGTGCTTTAAAAACTGGGAGTTGGGAATTGGTAATGTAGGGGGGCCTGTAAAGATGTGACTTTTCCCTGTCCATTTGCAAAGTCTTTTACTTACCTTAATTTCTGTATCTCAAATTATTGCATGTTTTTGAAATTATACTAGCAAACTGTAACTTAGTTTTTCACATGATAGACAAAAATAATTTTCTTCAGGCAGCAGGTATTTTTCTTTGCTGTAGCTTTGTTTTCAGCCATATTTTTTGTTCTTTGAGTCCTTTACTATGTTATCCTCACTTGCTTTTCTTTCTGTATTTCCATTCAATCATTTGTCCACTTCTGTGGATTATCTGCAGTAGTAAAAGATGCTTCACAAAGTACACTATCAGTCTGACAACAGCAATGTGATAAAATTCAAATGTTTCAGATATTTATGTTGCAAGGACTGTACTTCTAAAGCTTAGGTATGGTAACATGGATAAACAGTTGTCATTTGGATAAATGAAGAAATTATAGATGTGTAAGAAGGGAAGGGATTTCATGAAGTCAGCCCCTGCTGTGATTTCGAAACAAACACACTGAAATCAGGTCTGACAGACATTTGTCTGATCTTCTCTTAAAAAATTCAAAAGAGAGGAATACCACACCTCTTCACAGATCTATTTGTAGCTAGTACATAACTATTGTTATAGTTAGGAGGCTTTTTTTTTAATATTTAACTTAAGTCTCTGTCTTCATGTTATTTAAGCCAGTTAGTTCTTGTCCAAGCATTATTACTCATGCAGGATAATGATTTATGTACTCTTTGCACCAATGGTTTGCATATGTGAAGACTCCTTCTCCTTTTATTTCAGACTTCTCTTTACTAAACTGTGCAAACAGGCCTTTTCTTCACAGATCGAGTTTTCTCAGGGTTGTTGTTGTAACCTCTGTCGGACTCTGTGTGATTTGTCTATATCTTTTTCAAAGTTCCCCAGGCAAAGTCTTACAGCACCAGAGCAATTAACTTACTCTGTAAGTTGCAGGAGAAGTAACATGACAGCCTTATTAAAATGTCATTCTGGGGTGTGTGTCTGCAGGTATGGTAGAGGCTGGTGCTTTTTTTGGTGTGTTTTTTATGTTTTTTGTGGGGTTTGTTTTTTGGTTTTTTTTTTGGTTGGTTGGTTGTTTTTTTTTGGGGGGGGGTGTAGTTGTCGGGGTTTTTTGGCTTTTTGTTTTGCTCCTGCATGTTAACACAGGAGCTTGTATTACTGCTTGTTAGATCAGGTATCCCTTTCTTCATACGTATGAGTTTGAATTATCTCTCTGAAGAATAGCACCTTATACTATATTGAATTCAGTCTTTATTTCTGGTTAGTTTTCTTATAGTAAGCATTTCTAGACTCAAACCAGGATCACTGTTCAATAAATTATTCTACAGGAAAATGTGCAGTTTCTGCTCTTCCACATCTATTTGCCAGCACATACAATCCCTGTGGCTTTTGAACGTATACCCTGCTCTGTAACAGGAAACTTGATTGAGAACAAGTTCTCCTAGGGTTAGATGCAGCTTTTATTGGCAAAAGTGTGTCATTACCAGCCTGTTTTATACATGTACTGTCTTTCAAGTAAGTCATTTTGCTAAGATAACTTCTGTCAGTCTAGCAGTACATGAACAAGCCTTTTGCTATTCTGAGACGTCATGCAGTCCAATGACATAGTAGAAGAAATTTTTATTATATAGGCATGCCTTATTGGAAGAATTGCAGAGTGAACTATGGAGCAGATGTATTCAGCACATCTGTTATGCTGTTATATATACC